TGTWCKGTACRGTACWKTACCGTACGTACCTTCGTCAAAGTGCGAGTTACAGCAGAGACCTCGTATCCAGTCTTGCGCATGTCACATTTTTTAGTCCCTATTTGAGAATACGAGGTACACACAAAATCCKAACAGGAATAGAACAAATTTTTTCATTCTAATCCTGTGCGTCAAAACGTACGGCACGATCGATGATTGCATAACCTACCGCAATCGTTGACTGTTATCGTATTCAGCATCCTCCGTAGCAGCATCCCCGGCAGCAGTGTCCTCTGTATCAGTTTCGTTTGTATCAGCGACTCTCATCAGTGACTCGTTTGAGTGAATCGCATCAACGTCCTCGGTATCATCGAGCGTCCTCCTCCGTATCGGCATCCCGTATCAGCGGGCGTCCTCCACCGTATCGGCATCCCGTACCAGCGTCCTCCGTATCAGCGTCCTCCGTATCGGCACCTCGTATTCTGAGCGTCCTCTGTATTAGTGACCCGTATCGGCATCCTCCGGATTAGCAACAACTCGTGTCAGCGAGACGATGGCAGTTCAAAGCGACACAGCAGATGTATCCTATCACTTGCATAAGCAGCGGTTGCGGGTGGAATTATCCCCCGTGTCAAAACGAGGACAGACTGCTTAAACAAGTGATAGAATAGGTCTGGTGGTCTGGGCCTGCGGAAACATTCATTGCATACCGGTGCAACACAAACGACGCAACGCAAAATACTGTACCGTACAACGAAAGATTTTTTTGGAACCGGGGTGCCAAAGAAATTTCTGCACGAAATAGCTGCACAAAATATCGCGTGTTTGTTGTAGTTTGTTGATTTGTGCTTGGTTGATTTGAAAATTATGGTTGATTTTCAAATGAAATGTTCCTAGTTGCCTTCACGCGTTGATACACGGTGTGAAAAAGTGATGTGACTTACATTGGGATTCATAGTAGTTGTACTACTACTAGTACTACTACTAGTACTAGTACTAGTACTAGTAGCAGCAGCAGTAGTATTGATGTTGCAGATCCTTCTTGGCAGTGACGTGTTGCAAACCACCTACTACTAGTAGGGATGCACAACACAGCAGTATTTGACCGTTGAACGCATCTCTTGGCTCAAAAATTTTCCAATGGTCAACGCTCTGGTGCGAAAGAATTTTTCAGTGTCACAAGACTGAATGCATGTGGGACTGAATATTTTGGCAACATCCAAGCATACTAGTAGTAAAGGGAAGAAATCAAGCAAAGAATCACTAGTTATCTTTCAATTGAAGAGATGAGCAGGACCAGCAGGACCAGTGATGCTGGGGCACTAATAGTAGTAGTACTAGTGGTGGTGGTAGTACTAGTAATACTAGAAGCTACTAGTACTACTACTAGTAATAGTAGTATAACAACAACAATTAGTAGTAGTACTAGTAGTAGTGAAAGAAAAAATGACTCTGCAGCAGCCACTCCTGATAGTAGTGATACTACTGCTGCTAGCACAGGAGAGGAGGAGGAGGAGCCTCCTTTGATGGTGATCATCATGCAGCAGCAGTAGGCAGAAACAGAGAAAGCTGCAGTGTCTTCCAATCCTCACCAGAATAGTAGTATCAAGAAGGGATCATCATGCAATTTGAAGCTGATTACTAGTAGTCATGGTAGGGGGTGTACTAGCATGCCCCATCCTCAAACTTCTTGCACAACTCTTTGAGAATGATGAGAGGGAGAAGACCTGAGGACACTTCAAYCCTCTACTACWAYRATACTAGTGGGAAAATAAGAATGACAAATTTCCAGCATTGGCTGTTCTAGTAGCAAGGAAGTAATATCTTCTTGCTGTTCAAGCAACACCTGATTCACAGATTCTTCTTAAGAAAGGAAATTTACTAGTACTATAAGTAGCTAGTAGTACTACTAGTAGTAGTAGCCACTACTACTAGTAGTGCAAAGAGGAGGATTGCCAGTGAACAATATACAAAGCTTCATCCTCATATTGCAGGGAGAAGGACTTTGTATCATCATGCACCTGAAAATTACAGTACTAGGATTGGCATCATGGGAAGTAAATGGATACATTGTTCAATAATTAGTGAATCATAGCAACAGCACTCTACTACTACTACTACTACTACTACTACTACTACTACTACTACTACTACTACTAGTACAAGTTGGAGTGATGGTGGTAGCGGAGGAAGTAGTAGTAGTACTAGTACTACTAGTAGTAACAATACTATGAAGTACTGACATTAATCTTATACTCTTGTTTATTGTGACTCTATTCTCCTTATCACAGGTAGTAGCCAGTATAAAATACAAGTAAATTCATTGAGGGTTGAACAAATGGCATTGAAGACTGTCGTTGCAAATGCAACAGATTTCAAATGCCATCATTGTGTTCTTGTACACACTTTCTAGTACTAGTAACTACTACATACCCAATTTGGTATAGATGCACAGTTCACTGGATGGTGATTGATACATCCCTGGCAGCAAAACACTCTTCTTGTTGTTCCTACATGTACCCGGTTCAAACTCAATCATCACCAACTAGGGGTCGTGTACAACACAACAGTATTTGACCGTTGAATGCATCCCTTGGCTCAACATTTTTCCAACAGCCAACGCTATGGTTCAAAAGAGTTTTTCAGTGTCACAAGACTGAATGCATTTGGGACTGAATATTTTGGCAACATCCAAGCATAGTAAAGGGAAGAAATCAAGGAAATGATTACTACTACTAGAGTAGTCTAGTGTAGTGGTGATTAAAGGGACAAGAAGAACAACTAATTTGACCAGTGGGATGATTGGAGAAGAGACCAGCAGCAGGGCACTACTACTAGTAGTACTAGAAGCTAGTAGTACTACTCATGGTAATGGCAGGAAGAACATTAACAACTCTGTGGCAGCCACTCCTGAGGATAGTGACAGCACAATAGAAGAGGACCCTTTGATCATCATCATGCTGCAGCAGTACTAGTACAAGGCAGAAACAGAGGGGGAGCAAGCTGTAGTGCCTTCTACTAATCCTCAGATGTCACAAAAGTATCAGCACAAATCATCATGTACTAGTACTACTAATTTGGAGCTGCTGCCTAGTAAGAGTACTAGTAGTAGTAGGGATCAGCAGCACTCTTCTTGACTCCAAAGGTTCACTATTACTACTAGTAGTAGTACTAGTAGTCCTATTTAGACAAAGAGGAGCTGTTGGTGTCCTCCTCCTAGTAGTAGTAGCTAGTACTATGGTATGATTAGTAGTAGGGGAACAAGAAGAACAAGGAAACATACTAGTAATCCCAAAAAAGTTACGTCCCAAAGATAATGTAGAGAAAATAGTACTACTAGTAGTGATGATATTAAAATACTGTATGATCGGATTACTAGTAGTACTCGTATGGTTACTACTAGTAGTAGTACTGGTATTGTAATGTATTCACAGCTCCATTCTCCTGTGTACTTGGTACATGAAAACTGAAAACTACAGACTTCCTGTATTTCTTTTTCAAATTTTTTAATTTTTTTAAATATTTTTTATTTTTCGGAGGGAGAAAAAAATATAGAAAAACGAAAGAATATATTTGTACCAGTACGACTACGAGTACTTACTGTATTTCCCGTTATTTCCTGTGCCATTGCTTCCAACGCACGTACGGTACAGTTTTGAGTTTAGATCGGCAAGAGCGTTCGTTGGTATCCTACGATACTGTATCGTACCAGGTACAACGGGGAAGGAAGAAAACTGAAAACTTCACCTGTCAACATTCCAAAGATACGATACGGTACGATACGATACTAATATACGATACTATCAAACCAAACCAAACCAAACCACGCCAAACCAACCCGACCCACCATACCATATACCCTACACACCGCGCACACCGACCGTTTGCTGCCGCCATGGCCCCCGTGCTTCGCCGGTCCTTCCCGCGGCTCCGGGCRGYMGCGGCCGGTCTTTGGCTCCTGCTCTTCCCGGCCCCCCGCCGGAGCGGRACCTTCCACCGCTGCCACGGGTTTTCGGTGCCGGACCCGCCGGCCGGCCTCCCCCACCGCCTCGAGGACTGGGAGGCCTCCCACGTCGGGGACTGGCTGCGGTCCGTGGGCTTTGGCAGGTACGCTTCCGGCTTTGCCTCCGATTTCGGCGGCACCGGGGTCGACGGGGACCGGCTCGTCTACCTCGGGACGGAGGACCAGCTCGACCACATCGAGTACCAGCTCGAGCTGGTCGGGGTCGCCGACCGGTCCGACCAGGCCGTCCTGGGGGCGGCGATCGTCGGGCTCGTCGCCCTGGAGCGGACGACCCCGGGGGACCTGGAGGCCCTGGCGCGGGGAGTCCTTCGCCCCGGGGGAACGACCCAAGCCGGCGGCGGGCCACCGGAACCGGAAGATCCCGCGGCGCCCGGTTCCGTGGTGGGCCACTACGACATCTGAGTCAATATATATATATATATGCATCGCGAAACAACCAGCGGCCGCTGTGGACCTCATCGGTGCGTGGTGTGGCACCGGACCGCCCCGGAGGCCCGGAACCGGTCTCTTTCCGTCCCGTGTCCCGGATCCGTGCGGGGCAACCCACCACGGTTGGATCCGGCGCAGGGAATCCGGCCGATCCGTGCCATCGCGGCARGCCCACGGCCGGTTCCCGGTGTGGCAGATTGCGTTGCGTTGCGTTGCGGCACGGTGCCGTGCAATACAGTACGATCGCACTAGTAGCAGCAACAGTCACGCCGTGCACTGGCATCCACGGTTGCAGTGGCTTTTTCTTCTGTGCGGTGCGATTGCTGCTGCGTTGGAATGCCAGAACAAGAACGGTCTCTCTCTCTCACACACACTCTCTCTAGTTGCGAGGTTCCGGTGTGCTTGGACGATCGATCACAAGAAAGGAGTAGTACGAGGCCGCTGGTTCGGATACTTACCGTACGTAATAGACTAGTTACTCAGTTTTTGTCGAGTAATCGCGCGCTAAATTACTGCGCGTTACCAAAAAAATCGAGTAATCAGTTGCTAACAGATGCGTGTTATTTTTCTTCATTATTAATTGCAGCTCGACCGGATGACTGATTACTCGACAAAATTAGCAATCATCTTGGTAATCAGGAAAGCAGCGGTACAAATCCTACTGGCAGCTGTCGGCATCAAGTTTGCAAGGAACAATAGAGAAGCAGTAATCAAATCGATTGATATTTTAAATTGATATTTTCAGTACGCAAAGATAAAAATAGCAAACAGTACACTAAATAAAGCAGTGCTCATTGAAGCAATAAGAATAGCAACAGCTGCCGCAGTAATCAGTAATCAGTAATTAGTAATCACCAGCAGTAATCATGACCCATCGAAGAGATCGAAACAGTCCTTTTGACTCAAACGCGATATTCGATGAGCCACCCCCTGAGTTAGGACTGTCTCAGAGAAGCACCAGGAGCAGGAGTAATCACAAGGAGGATGGCGTCATTATCGATGATGCCACCACCACCACCAGCAATACTAATCTGTCTCCACCAGCACCAGCAAGGGGAGAATTGACACAGGATGGGGCAAACACAATGATATCGTTTGCGCGTCGAAGCTTCATTGAAGAACGAATGCGGCGATCATCAAGAATTTTGCTTGCACCTGATCATGAAGAGCAGGAAGCAGCGCCACGACCAAGAGTATCGATTGAGCCAGGGGATGTTCCCCCCCCCGCTCCACCACAAGAGGAACACCAACAAGAACAGCAGCAACAACCACCACCACCTCCTCCTCAAGACCGACAACAGATTGTTGTCAATCCGTATCTACGTCGACAAGAAGAAGACTTGGCAAGAAGGAACAAGACAGAAGCAGCAAAGGCGTATGCAAAAAAGATCTATGACAATCCAAACTATGCAAATACATTTGGTGAAAAAGGAAAGACTGTAAAGGAAGCAACATCGACTACAGATAAATACTCAAAGACTGTTGCGTCCGTACACAAAAGATTCGAAGAAATTGTAAGAGAGGCAACAGCCCCACAGGGCACGAGTAATCCTGGCGACGTCCAGCTTCACAGATACTTCACGAATGAGGTTGATCTACCGGATGGATTGAGAAGAGACCTTGAGTTCTATGCTGTTGTTGGAGGGGAACCAGAGCCCTTCAAGAAGCAAATCGCAAATCAAGCTCTTTGTATCTGGACACTGAATATCAAGAAGATGAGGGTCCGCGGCGCAAATAGGGATCAGCCGCTTGATACCTCAACGCACGCCACGTATATCAAGTATGTGTTCGCTGCACTCGCAGCAAGAGGAGTTAGATACAAGAGCAGTGACTTCAATGGCAAGGGAGGCTTCTTGGGTGTATGCAAAGCAGATTGGAATCAGAAGAGGGAAGTCGATCCAACACTGGGAACCAAGAGGAATAAAGSMARGTTYGATGAGCAYGGSGACCAGAARTATYKSTYRARGCTTGAAGATGGAACCTACAAGCCGTATGATAATGATCTTGATCTAATGAAGGTGATTGCAATGGAGCTYGGAAGACAGTTTGGTCTTCGCGGAAAGAGTGAGCTTGTGTTCCTCAAGTGGAGTGATGTATCCCTYGGTACATACGACTGTGGAGTAAACAAGGGACTGAGGCATGTAACCATTTCCCCATGTGGAGGGAATGATAAAGGAAACAAGATCTCTGTTCTTCATCCGACTGTGAATACACAAAAGCCAAGAGTAATAGAGCAAGCGGAAGACAAGTACTGCATCGTGAAGCTGTTATTCTATTATCGAAGTCTCTGCAACCCAAAGCAAGAGAGGTTCTTCTGCTACGTGAACCACAGGAGGAGGAAGGGCAATCCTTATCATTACAAACCCTTTTCGCAGATCGGAGGGGATCCAATCAGGGAGTGGATCAAAGAGTTTGCAAAGATGGCAGGATTCACGGACTGGGAGAAGTTCACTCCCCATGATAATCGCCATCGCTGCATCACAGCTCTTGCATCTAATGAGAATGTAACTGATAAGATGAGAATGAACCATGTGCGCCATAAGAATGCAAAGTCAGCTGAGCCCTATATTCACGATAACTCAATGATTCAAAACCAGCTTCAAGCAGCGCTCCGGGAAGGTGTTGCAGGTAGGAAGCCTCCTCGTCCATCTCCAGCACCACCAGCAGCAGGAGCAGTCGTCGTCGATAGTACTAGTAGTAACAAGGAGAACACGATGGCACCACCACCAGCGCCAGCTCCCAGCACCATCATCACTGCCGGAAGAAACTCCTATGTGTCTCCAACCAAGCTTGCCCTGCGAAAAGAAATTGCTGAGCTAAAGAAGAAAGCAAAGAAGCGGAAGAGTAGCTTCAAAGAACAAGCAAGTGACGATGCAAAGAAGCATCGAAAAGAGCTCCAGGAAATCAAGAATGATAATGCTGAGCTGACCACTATTGTTCATGATCTTGAGGCCACGATTCAGCAACAAGAAAAGCAAATCAGGCGCATGAAAGATGCCCAAGCGGACAAAGTTGCAGAGCTTGAAGATGAGCTTGACAAAGCAAATGATGATCTTCTCGAAAGCAATCGAAAGTTAGCGGACTTACCAAACAATATTCCGGATGAGCTGAAAGCAGTTGCAAGAGATGTTACTCACAAAGTTGAGCAAGTTCATATGCGACTTGAGTTGAGCATCAGCAAGATTCGTGAAGAAATCAGAAGCAAACAACATCATAACAATGCTCCGCCATTGTGCGTTATCATGTAACGATAAAGCATTCGGAGATAGTATACTATCGCGGAGGCAGTTGCTGTTGAAAGCTGCTCTGCGGAGACAGTTTCTGTTGAACACTAATCGTATCGTGATGGTGAGTCTGTTGAGAGTCTACGTAGAATTCAGGTAGAATAATGTACTAGAAAAAAATTTCAGATTTTAGCAAAATTGAGCAGTCTAGTGCCTTGATATCTAATTTTGCCGTAGGATCCTACGGAACTTTTGTACCAGGATCATAAAATAAGGACTGATTTCAGTCGTTGGAAGCAAAAAAAGAAGCAATACTGTTTGCTGCAGCTATCCGGAGGGACCGGGGAGGGATAAGAGCCCAATCCCCTATATCGGAGGAGGCAGTGCTTGTAGTTCATTTGCAGGCTCCAGGGAGGGACCGGGGAGGGAAAAGAGCCCAATCCCCTA